GAGCTGGTCGGTCCAGGTGCTGCACCGGCCACAGGACCCTGCGCTTTCTGGGCCTGGCAGCGTGAGCCAGCTGGGATGGGGTGCTCTGACCTGCAGAGGTTCAATCTCCACTCCTTATCCTTGAAAATGTCACAATTCAGCCAGCTTTGGGGCCCTAGAGCCCCTGCCAGTGAAAAACGTGATTTTTTTTTTTCCCTGTTAGGAAGTTACCCTGTCTCTGGCACAATGGGAGGGACATGGTTTTCCAGTCTCATGTTGCCACCAGCTCTCCTTTCGGCACTTGTCACTCATCCACCTTTGCAATAAAGCAGCCTTGATCCTTCATACCAAGCCACTGAGTTTGTTGTCTGTGCTCGACACTTCACTGAGGTGAATTTGGCCAGAACGGGGTGTTTTGCTCTGCCATCCAGGGAACTGCCACTTCCCAGAGGAGCCAGGAGCTGGAAAAACAAACTGTGTGCAGTGGTTAGAGGCAGGTGAAGTGCCTGACCTTTGGAGCTGGTGGTGCAGGGTTGACTTGTCTGTGAAATGCTGCCAGCCTGGCAGAAAGGAATTTCCTACCTGGACTGCCATGGTTTGTGCTGGTACAAATGCCTGCGTGAGGTCCAGGAGCTTTTATTGGCCAATTTTTAGTGTTTGCCACTGAGAGCAAAGCTTTGCAAAGAGGACACTCCCCCTCAGGAGCTTTGTCCTGCTTCCCTGTCCCAGCAAGGGTCTTGGCTCTATTTCAGGAAGGATCCTCCTTCCCGTTCACGTCATCAGCCAGCAAAATGTTGGCTTTTTGGGGAACATCTGCTCTGCTCATTGGGCTTTTGATGGAGACCTGAAGTGACAGGAGGGGAGCCAGTCCCAATAACGCGCTCCAAGTTCCCTTACACTGGCCAGGCTTGTTTCCACACGACTGCTTTGACTTCGGCCACCGATCCAAGCCCCGTCCCTCCCTCCCCATTTGCTCAGCTCCTCTTGCCTGCCTGCTGGACCTAACAAATCTGCCACTTCTTTAATTAGCAGAAGGCATCACAGCCCTGTGGGGACGCAGAGCCTCAGAGACGAGAAATCACAATGGAGGAAAAACCGTGTGCTGTCAATGTGGCAGAAGGAGAAGACTTGCTGCTGAATCCCGTTCAGTGTAGCCACGTGCCCCAGCAGGAGAGAGCTTCTCCTGAGTGAAAATGAATGTATTTTAGCTTTAAACCAATTACTTCCTGCAGTTGCTGAAATGGCTTTTATTCAGAACCCATTTCTGCTTGCTAATGAGCTATTCTGTGGTGTGTGCCAGCTGCTAACAAAGTTAGACTTCACTCTGTCTTTCAGCTGCTCTTCACAGACTTTATTTCCCTTTTGCGAGCAGCAGCAAGGGGCTGGTAGTGCTGCCCCACGGCTGGGGCAGACAGAAAAGGAAGACAGAACTCTGCCTCTCTCCTCCAGACAAGAGATGGGTTGAGGATTAGAACCAGCCTGCAATGGTGGGGTTTCTGCTGCTTGGCGTGGGGAGAGGCTGGATGAACCGTGCATGGCTCTGGGCCTGCGGCTCGTCCCACGTTTCCAGCACGGGATGCTCTTAAATGGCACAGGCTGAGATACAACCCAGAGAGAGCACCGTGTCCAACGCCGAAGCACCATGCAGGCTCACGCAGCCCAGACCCATCTGGAGCACTGCCCTGAGCTACTGAAACCAAACACGGGGATTTATTTTTTTTTTTAAACCTGTATTTTTCCAATTGCCATGAAAACACAAGTGCGGGCCATGTGGTGCTGGCCTCGCTCAGGCTTCTTTGAAGCATTCCCTGTCCTCACTCTCAGGGGTAGGAACGTTGTTTTCTGTTTGTATGCCTGTCCAAAAGGGTGGGTGGTTTGCGGGAGAGGCCGAGCAAAGCCAGCTCAGAGCCCAGCGCGAGATGGCCGCCCGGCTCTCACGCCTGTGGTGCTTCCTCCAGATCCGGCCTCTCCCCATCCCACACGAGGCGATGCCCTGAGCATGGGGGATGTGCCCCCCTGGGGCCTGGCCTCTGTGGAGCCCCCCCAGCTGGGACTGGAGCCCTGTAGCAGGGCAGCTTGCCGAGGACTGGCCTCCCTCGGAGCGGGGTAGGTCAAGGGAGGGATTTTGGGTGACCCGGTGTCCTCGCATCGGGGGTCTGTCTCAGAGGGGTGGAGGGAGCGTGGGGTTTGTCCCTCGTGCTTGGCCTGCGGGGAGCAAAGCTGGTATGCAGCCGGGGGCTCCGGGGATGTGTCTGCCTTCAGCCAGACCTCCGTGCAGCTGGGCTTGCGGGAGAACGGTGCTGTGGTTCCTGCTCCGGGGCTAGGCAGCTCCTCAAGCGGTGCCCCAGTGGGCTGGATGCCCTCGCTGGATGCCCGATTGCTCCTTTGGGAAGGCTCCTTGGAGATACGCGTATCCGACCAAGGCTCTTGGGGCTGTGCGAGGGAGATGTGTGCTACACTCATGGTGCAAAGATGCAGTGGGAGAAGAGGGTGGCGAATGGACCGGACAGAAACACTGGGGCAGGTGGGTCTGGGC